ATTAAAGTAATTAGTCCAATATTATTTTCGAAATTAACATAACTAAAACGTTTATCAATGTTTTTTAAACTAAAAATAAAATTTAAAATACTTCATTATAAAATTATTTTAAAAGTATTGATTTATTTATTTTAAAACCCTACGGGTATCCTAAACCCAATAGGGTAACCCTGTTTGAACTTGTGTATAATGGGTATCAGAGAACTAAAACTTGGCATATTGGCATAAGCTAGAGAGTCTTGGAATGACAAGGAGTTTCTTGAGGATGACAGATTCTTCCTTCCTTCTGAAATCACCCAAGAAGTAAGTGAATTCCTTGAGAATTGTTTAGTTCTCTAGTAAGTAGCTCACTTGCTCCATCTTTGTCGCCTCCTCTACCATCGGCTGTACAATCTCAACATACTCGACATCTTACGAGTATATGCTTACGACATATACTCGTAAGCATATGTTACCTGGAGGGTATCCGAAGTGATGAATATATCTTTGACACTAGAGATCACAAGGAAGAAATTACGAAATCACATCCAAATCCACCTTAACAATGGAATCCAGATTAGTTATTATGAAACAATGAGTTTCATTATCATCAAGCTTGAGATACAAGACATTCCTCAATATCCTTGTCATTGTGGCCAACAAGATCAGTAGGGACGTAAATCTTTTACATTGTCAGAGAAAATCCTCTTTCTACTTAAAGCTTTCGAGAACCGGACAGCCTGAGATGAGCATTTCGAAAGCCCAATCGTTGGCAAACTTAACCACTTCTAGATGGATAACTTTGACACAAAGGTAAAGAAATGCTCATCTCAGGCTGACCGGTTCTCGAAAGCTTAACGATAAAGAGGATAACAAAGCTACATATCTCCAGAGATTTGTCCATCTATGTTATTAAGCTTAACTACTTAATCAATGAATTTCTGAACCTATCTACATTCCCTATTTTCATCACCGGAGATTTTGGCACGAACATGTCGCTCTCCGTCTTCGATAGATTTCAAACTCTAGATCCAAAAATTCTACCAAACCTCAAAAGGAATCAAACAGCAGAAATTTAGAGACCCAAACTAGTGCTCCTGAAGAATGATAATAGAGTTGAGAAACAAACTCGAGAAATTTTCGGCCAAAGTAATCTCCTTTGTCTATCCGGCGAGTCGGCGACAGTGGAAAAATGGAAAGTCTCAACTCTTGCGTATTACTTCGCTGTAGTTATCACTGTTGGGCTAGTATTTTAGAGAAAGATGAGCGTTGGCGACTCTATGGTTTCGCAATAC